AATGGCTGCATATTCTCGGTTGGGAATATAAAGACCACTCGAAAAATATTTATTTTGATGGTCATGAGCATGAAGATGTAGTAGCGGATAGACATCGATTTTTGGAACAATAGGCAGAATTACAAAAACAAATGGCAACTTACGAAGGTGAAAATTTAGATCAGATAATCTTACCCGTACTTCCATATGATATTTCCGAAATCGTTTCTGTTACCCATGACGAGTCGATCTTTTATGCAAATAATGATGTTGTTAAGGCTTGGGGTCCGGCGGATGAGAGTTGACTTCGTCGTAAATCACAAGGCCTCAGCATTCATGTAAGCGACTTTCTCTGTGAATCTATTGGACAACTCCAGCTTTCAGAAGATGAATGTTTTACTAACGATTTACTTTCTGATGATGAGTGGCTAATATATACTGAAGCTTGCGTTACAATATATCCTGATACGAATTGTGATGGCTGGTAGACAAATAAAGACGTCGTTAAACAGGTAAAAGAGCGGGCTATTTCAATATTTGAACGTACTCACCCAGGGAAAGTCGCACTGTTCATGTTCGATAACAGTTGCAACCACAATGCATTTGCTGATGATGCATTAGTGGTTTCAAGAATGAACATGAAAGACGGTGGAAAACAACCGCTTCTCCGTAACGGTAAAATGCCCGATGGCTCGCTTCATGTCATGACATTTACGGATGTTGATGGTGTAGTAAAGCCCAAAGGTATTCGACGAGTTCTTGAAGAGCGCGGTTTATGGATACCGGGTTTGAAAAGAAAATGCAATGCGTGTACGCAACATAATCCCAATCTGAATAAACTGGACTGTTGCACAATACGCATCCTTTCTGCCTAACCCGACTTTGCATCACAGAGGATACATATACAAGAGGTAAGCTGCAATTAATATGATATTCACCGTTCAAACATAACAATACAACAAATATAATTAAAAATACTTATCTTTTTAGGTTATTGAGGCAGCAGGACATATGTGCATATTCTATCTGAAGTTCTACTGCGAACTTAATTATATCGAGTCATTTTGGGCAGAGGCAAAGTGGTACTCACGTCTTCACTACAATTATTCGTTCAATCACCTTAAAGAAGTTGTATCGCGTGCATTAGATTCCATTAGCCTAACAAAAATTCATCAGTTTTCACGTCATTCTACGCGTTATATAAGTGCTTACGAACTTGGACTTTTAGGTAAGGCGGCTGTCTTTGCGGTTAAGCAGTATCGGTCTCATCGTAGGGTTTCTGAAACAGTTTTGGAAGAATTCGGTAACATCTAAGATAAAGTTTTTTGCCAATCAAATACGGTAATTTAACCAATTATATTGTTTTACATAATACTGATGGTGCTGAAAATTTCCCTATCGCTATTAAAATTGGCGTTAAAAAAATCCTAACTAAAAAAAATTTTTGTAATAAAATGGACAAAAAAAATATGTAGTCTTGTAGAGCATATCAAAGACTATTAGATAACGTATTTTTTTTTTCATGGTTATATGTTTAAATAAAATTCCTTTATGTTTTAAAATCATTAAAAATCATTGGATGCGACTAAGCCGTTTGCACTATACTAATTGTTTTTTTCATATCACTATTACTAACTACTAGATTTTTACACCAATACTCTTTTCTAAATCAGATTTCTGAAATAAATTATCCTACACAAATTTTTGCCTATCTATATCACTCCCACCTGCACATATTATATAAAATAATATTTCCCATAAGAGAACTTCCTCATGATTAAGAAATTTTGAACCTACAGAATAAGTTAGAGAGATTAGTAACTGAGGTAAAAAAAAATAATCAATGCAATATTTCTGATTTATATTTACCATTACATCTTATTTTCAGAATATTTCAGTCCGCCTGAAATTTGACCCAAGTATTAAGAATTCGGTATGTTATCATAAATTTTACTACGCTGATGATATACGTGAAGTTGATTAGATAAGATAATAATATCTCATCACAGGAATTTATTTTTGTAATACTATACGCATGATGATTATCAACGGCAAAGATCAAAATGCCAATATATAACAAGAAGAGTAATACTTCCATTTTATTTCGGAATATCTATAGAGGTAGGAAGATTGATTAACATCGTGATGACATGTTTCAAGATATTAACTGAGCAATAAACAACTTACTTATTATTACTATGCAGAAAATACAAGTTCGTTTGATTGTTAATAATGGTAAGTTTTGATCTGTTTGAAACTTTATTAGAATTTTCGTTTGATATTTTCACTTGATTTTTGCTTATATTTGCACAAGGCGGATAAAAAGACTCACTAACTGGGGTATTACCTTTTTATATAATTTACAGTGGATCTAAGATTTTTGGAAAAAATTTCGTTAATACTACAAATCTGATTAAATCACCAAAAATGGAATATTTATTAAGGATTACGCATCTTTGGCTAACGTTAACAGGTAATAAAAATTATTCTGTGGTAATTGAGTCAATCTGCTTATCCACCTCCGTTTTCCATTTTGTTTTATTTCTAATATCATGATCTTCAATATATGCAAATCAAGGAGCGGTTAATCATTAATTTGTGAAAAGCTGAAAAGCTGAGAACTTTCAGAAAAAACATAACGAATATGCTATGGTTTATTAATAGAACATTAAAAATAACTGCGGTTAGCATTAAATCAATACAAAGGAGTAGCCAATTTTTAAATAAATGGGGATACACTGTATAATGTTTTATACTAATGACTGTGGACTTTTTTTTCGTGCAATAACCCTCTATTCTAACATGCTTACTCAAAGAAATTATAATACTTTAGTTTTGAAAAAATTGCGCATGTAAATCTTGCATTGCACAAAAATATTAACTGCGCATTTTAGGTGATCAGTCTCACATGACGGAGTTATGCTACGATCGTGAATTTGAATTTATTGCTTGAAGTGAAGCAAGTAAGACAATATTCCATTTCATTTTTATACCATTCGCCATGTAATCCATAATTCCCATGTTTTCCATTACAAATAGGACATGGTGAGCTCTATGGCTGAGGTGATGCAAAATTATAATTATCAATTTCCCTAAAAGTATTTCAGAATTTCAGGTATGTGAAATGCTTTAAGACAGATTTGATAATTAATTCTGAATCAGGTCTGGCTTCGAAAGTGATGGGCCTTTTTTCTTCATATTGTTCAGAAAAAGATAAATAGAATAATTTATTTTCTGGCTTTGAATTTATGAGAAGGCAATTTTCTGATAATTGCCATTGCTCATGTCCAGTTTCTTTTTTATATTTTTTATATAAGCTAGACCGAATCCTATCTGTCAAAACACTTAGTAATCCAGTTAATTTAGCATGCCAATCCAGATAATCGGTGATTAGTATTTTAACAAACTCAGTCATTTTCCTTTTTTCTATGATTGTGAATCAATTTAAATTAGGTAGTAAACTAATAGTAAACATAATTAGTCCTAAAAAAATATCACACAATGAAGCGTGAGCAAATAAAATATATTATAAAATAATGAGGCTATGCAGTTATCTCAATTTCATGCTGTTCACATTTAATAAAGTAAGATCCAGATTTATACATACCTTCTATACTTTCTTCGTCATCATGATCTAAACTGCATAATGGGCATGATATTTCATCAGTAATACCATAATAATTGAAATTTTCACTACTAAATTTTCTATATAAAGCAGGATATTGGTCCAATATTTTGTTGCGAAAATAGGAGCGGTCATAAATTGGATTAACCTTACTTATTTAAGGTGTGACTGATGAAATCATTTTCAGTGAAGCATTTATCTTGATTTCTTTTTCATTAGATGAGGATTGGCACTTAATGTAATAAGAACCTTTTATGCATTGGCCAACTACCTTCCCTTCAGTATGTTTTTTTTAACATTCAAGACATAAATCTGAATTTTTAAATTTATATGCATCATTGTATCTGTCACTATTATATAAGAATAAGTAAGGATATTCATTTAAAGTCACATTGATATAGGGAGCACAAGCATCATATAAGATGACCGGTGAATTGATCAGGTCTGAAGAATTAGTGGATGCAATTGGAATTCTTACTTTAGATTTGGCAGATGCAGTTGCATCGCTAATGATCATTTCTGAAGTCACATGAGTGCGTGAATTTTTTTCATACAGTATTGTTTTAATAATATCAATTTGCATGTTAATTAACTTTGAGAGTTTATTTACACTATAAGTTTTGATTCGCATAATCTTATCTTCTCCAATTTCGCTAAATAATATATATATAGGCTTAGTTAGCTGGGTTTTTTGCGTAAATTTACACAAGAAATTCCTGAAAGATACTGTAGTATTTCATCATAAATCTGCCCACTCGTAAGTTTATAGGCTTTTTTATTAGTAATAAGTCTATTCTTTAAAATTCCAGGTAAAATCTCACTATGTCTTTTTTCAAAATACTTTCTATAGCAATACCAGCTCATGATTTCATCTTGTTTGACTCATATAGTTCAAATTTTAGCAAATTTTATTTTTTCATATAGATAAGCTAATTCGATTGCAGGCGATTGATTAATAGCAGTACTCTCTTCCATATTAACAACCTTAACACAATTTTCTTCTAAAGGTTCTATAAGCAATTCTTGTATTAAAGGCTGTATATCTATTTCAGATGCTTTTATTTTAGCATTTTGTTCTGATAAGATAGATTAAGTAGACATCACTATATATATAATGATATCTACTTAATCTATCTACTTACACCATAATGATGCCTACTTATAGATATTAATGCTTACTTACTTATTTTACGTATCTATGCTCCTTCTGATGCTTTATTGCTACATCAGTAAATTTAATAATGCGAAGTATTACGTAAACCCTACGCTTCGTAATCTTACGTAAGGTTACGAGCCCG